ATGCACATGTGCCTGGACAAACAGACAAGCCTGGAAAAAGAGGAGCTAATCTCAAGTGCTACTCACTAACAAGTACTGACAGATGCCTTATCCTTTGCTTGATACCCATGTTGGTACAGACATACCCATCCCCAACCCTGTGTTTTGGGGATGATTGTGTTGATTTCAGAAGGTACAAATACTGGGAAGAGGAGAGAAAATTAAGTACCAAAACTGCCTTGACTAGTTTACAATGAGCATGACCATGCTTGGTTCCACCTGCTGTTTCCAATTTCTTCTGGTATCAATGAATTAACACACTTCTTACTTTTGGAGACAACAGAATTAAGCACATCACTGAAAAGACCCTCAAAATATCAAGCAAAAATTCAATCATCTTTCACTAGACTTAAGACCTAAAGTTGGCTGATTCCACATACTATTTTTTAACAAAAAAAAACCCCCACCCTTTCAAGGACATTTATAAACTCACAAATTGAGCTAGCAAGTAAATTTTTTTAACACCTAATGAAGAAAACCAGGTTAAAACAGCAATAGGGAATGATAGTGAACCAGGCAGTTCCAGAGAACCATAATTTAACAAGAGGGAGTTATAGAAAAATCCGACCTGGCTCCTGTCCTGATGACCAAGGGTGTTAGAGTTGCATTTGGCCATTAACGGTATGACAAAGGAATGGTAGGTGGATTAATTATTTCAACAAACAATTCAGTAGATCAAGTGAAAGATTTAAACCATAAAGACTTCCACCCTCCAAGCCAGAAGATGAAGACTAGGCAAAGTTTCTGTTCTGGGTGGTATGTGTTTGCCATCAGTAGTTTGGTGGGAAGTACACAAATGATTCTTTGGACAGGACAGGAACAAAGTTATGAATAAAAATTACCCTCTCAAAGACTTTAACTTACTCTGCTGTCAAACTTTTTCAGCATTCCTCATCAGCAATGAAATGTTTTGTCAGTGAATTACGATGACTTGAAGCTACAAAATGGTAAAATAACAATTCCTGCAGTAAACTATTACAGGAATCTCACAATACAGACTTTAGTAGTTCCTGCTCAGTCCTTTCAAAGACTAACCCCCTGCTAACAGTTCTGCAACAAAAAGCATGGGGGATATATACAGAAACCTTAACAAGTGGAATGAATGCTGAGCCATTGGTTCTGGATGCAGGAAAAAAACAAGAGCCTTTGAAGTAGTGGATACAGACATTACTAACACTGCAAGATTTGGGACCAAAGGACTGGGATCAACGACAGTCACATGAATAAAGTGGAATGCTGATGGGTGCTTTAGTGACCTAGCTGTGTTAAGCAGACAGGACAAAAGGATGTCTGCCTTTTCAAGGACCTATTGACAGGACTGATATCCACACAACAGAGCAGAGTGGAGTCATGCTCTGGCTTCCCAGGCTGTAGGTACTTCCCAATTTATGGATGACAGTTTACTCTTCAATACAGAACTTGGAACTGGAATTATTTCCAAAATAAAGGACTCTGTTCTCAGAAGATATTTAGGGCAAGTGCACTAGCAACAGACTGATTCCAACCTACCAGCTGAAAGAAGAATGGGGAACTCTTACCAGAAATCTGTACTCTACTCTAATTGGGAAGGATTGTTTTAAACTACTAGGATCAAGTTTCTATAAATCTTTTTCTAATTTCTAGGTTGTGTATTCAGTTTTCCTTGTATTGGAAATATTTAGTAGCTTAAACAAATCTTCCACATCCATGCTTTTATCTCCAAACCCTGCAAACAGGTATTATTCCCCATCAGCCTTGGTATATGGAACAAAATGTACTCAGCTGTTTTAGTCCATTTCTCTATGTCCTCAATCATAATTCTTAATCCTGTTCTGCAATAACAAGAGTGGGATTTCTTTTTTAAACACATTTAATCAGAAGACTTTATTCTCAGACCAAGATTGCATCTTAATTATTTGACTTGTAATAATTACACGTTGGAGAACTTTAAAAGACAAGTCCTTTAAAAGACGTGTGAAATGCACTTCCCATTCAGAAAGCCAAAACTACACATAAAACCAAAACCAGGTCTATCAGTCAGAAAAACCCAGATATTGAATGAGTAATTCCTGAAAAAACAATAAAGTTGCCTGCCTCAAGGAAAAAGCTGGGCTGGTGAATGACATCAACAGGAAGTGAGCAATATTATCTCTTCCTATCACTCCACTTGTGTTCTCAGTTCATTGTTTGGATAAGTGCTCTGATCACAAGGGGTCCTAACAGTAACATGCCATCCTTCAGCAAATAACATACTTCCATGCTGGCGTTTAGCCTGATAGGCTTCAATAGAAAAATAGAGGGAATATGGTCTTTTCAAATCCTTAAACAACTTTATTTTCAATGATAAAATGAAAAAAATATTTAGAATGCAGGGGGAAAATACAACAGGAACTGAAAATGTTGGTTATGGCTGACAAAAAGCCAGTTTTACCTATGCCACTTCTAGGACTCCCTAGAGGCCAACAGATTACAGCATGATGGTAAGTTCATCATGCTCTGTGAAGAGACAGAAAGGGAAAATTCCAACTGTAGGTTAGGAAAAAATTCTTCAATTACAGTGTTAAAGCATTCAGATTACAGAAACCTAGTCACTGGAGGTTTTCAAAACTTGACTGACAAAGCCCCTGAGCAACACCATGTGACAGTGGATCGTTCTTTGAGCAGGAGGCTGGACTGTAAGACCCCCAGGAATCCCTTCCAAGCTCTGCAACCTTGCGGAATCCCCTGCACTTCATACAGATGGGTTATGGTGGCTGCACCCCAATAAGTAAAACTGACCTGAGTTAAGAAAAAAGATACAGCAGGAACATAAATTTCCAATTTACAGTGTGCACACGAATTTTGTAAAAAGACATGAAGGCACAGCTATGTGCCAGGCCAGCTGGGTCAGAACTGGAGCAGAGCAGCAGCTAAAACAGGAAGCGGGACCTTACAGCAGATACACTCCCCCACATGCCTGCTCAGTACATGAAATACACCAACGTAGGGCTGGCTGGAACATTTTTGAGAGCAGAAAAGCATTCTAGAATTACTTCCTTTTCCCCTTGTCCTTCCTTCAACCTTGTTTCCTGATCAGCCTTAGTGCCAAGGTGTCAAAGCGTCTATTATTCTCCCCACGTGTGAACACGCCTATCTTGTCCTTTTAAAAATCTGCCTGGTCCAGTTAACTAAGTCAAGCATCCCTTCTTCACTGCCTGAATTAAGTTCTGTTTCAATTACTTAAACTGGTAAAAAAAAAAAAATCAGAAAAACAATAAACAAAACAGCCAACAAGTGTGTCCCCACCACACTTCTGCCAGTCTGAACTCTATCTCCTAGGTTTTAGTTAAACTGCAGCCTCAGACGTAACCATCACACACCCCTGCTACACAGAGAAGAAATGCACCTGCATTTCCAGAAGCAGCTGGACCACGTGCAGAGCTGTGCCACTCTTAAGTCTCGCAAAAACTTTTAAATGCTAAGTGTCCAAGTGATGCCAAAAGTCTGCATAAAGCAGTATTAAGATGCTGATAATAAAAATTACCTCCTCCTTGCATGAAAACCAAAAGGAAACAGGGCATTTCTATTTCGTATGCAATATTCTCTAGAGGGAGCAAATGGCAAGTCGGAATCCACGCTTGATTCAAGGTAGGTATTTTAATAATTTAGACTATTTAAATTATTCAACATACTAGGACATAAATTCCTGAAAGAAAATGGGGCCGTGCATGACCCAAGCACGTCGTTACACACACTAGTTAGTCACACACTTTCTAGACTGGACAAGAAGTGTGGAACAGACAAGATACTGGCATGATAAAAAAATAATAAGGCTTTAGTTAGATTTCTACCTGATTTAAAGCCTCCTGCCATCCCTGAAACTACCAGAGACACTTGCAACACTCATGCTCAATTAGACTCTGCAACGAAGGCAAATTATTAGGTGTATTTAGTCATCCCAATAAGAACTCTACTGAAACAAGTCTATTCTTCTTTCACTGCAATAACTGCTCCAGGACTCCCTTCAGAAAACTACAGAAATATTTTTTAAATTTAAAAAAAAACCCCAAACACTAAAAGCCTACAAATAACATTTAGGATACTAAAACATCATACATAAATTATGAAGTTCATAATTAATTGCTCTGTTCACAGCTAACTACTGTGCATCAATGACATGTATGTATCAAGACCAAGAGCTATAAGACAAATGAAAAAACAACATATGCCATCCCCCCTCCCACCCACCCTCTTCTGAATTCATTGCCTTTTTATTCATCTACCCACCCACTGGTCTTCTGACACAAATACACAATGAAAACCAAAATGTAAGAGCCAAAATAATTCCACGGTAAATCACCAGTGGCTCTCTCTTCGTATGTACTACTCTTCTACCTTTTATCATCTTTATGACTTCTACAGAATAAACTCTTTTGATATGGGATATTTTTATATTATTTCATGTTATAATCCAGTCTACAGAAAAGCTAAATTAATAATTATGGTCGTCCTCAGTATAGGCAGACCCCACTATCACTACTAAAACAATGTGGGGTTTGGACCACCTTCCTTGCTACATGTGATTATTATTCTGTATTTTTCCCCTCATAATGCTCAGGATCAGCAGTTACTACCCTGGCACTAGTACCATTAGCCACATATTTTCCAAGTGACTGAATCTGTATCTTCAAAACCAGACAAATACACAGTGATGCTGATATTCTACTGCACCAGGACTTTTTTATTAAAAAAGTCACAGTGAGAAAGTTTGGCTTCTTTGACTTTTGCTTCAACTCTCTAAGATAACAGTTCAAAGAGAAAAAATAATTAGATTACTGTACAAAATATTTAAGAAACCTAAGGAAGGTTTTCAATGACTGGTTTAACTAAATCTGCTTATTCCACCTACTTTCCCAAAATCTTTTTAAGAATGGAGTGCTTGCTATCTCAACTTCAACTTCAAAAACGTGTTCTCAATTGAGAGAAAAAAAATACAATAAAAATCAGCTTAAAATAAATTTATTAAACAATACAAAAATAAGCATGCTGGAAATCAAGATACATAAATAACATACAATGCAAATGAAAAATGGAAAACGAGACAGGTAACTTAACAACTGAGTCAAAAGGTACAACACAAATGCTAAAATAAAACTTTAAAAAGCATTTACATTTCTAATGAAATGTTAATGATGCTGACAAAGAAAAACAAACAAACAGCTAAAATGCTTGAATATCAAGAATTGCTATTACTGTAGCACAGGTGAACACTAAAACCGTTGCAGACTTCACACATGGAATGACCAGCCTCTATCACCCATCCTTTGGGACCCGCTCACCAGACCCAATGTAGGTGGGGTAAGTCATCAGGGCAGACCTAACTCTGGCCTCCAGGCACCCTGCCATGAAAAAGAGCCATCTGCAGACATGGCAGGCCAGGACAAGAAACTACAAGTGTAGGCAAGTTACAAAATAATTGGTTCAAAGGAATCTCCTCCTGAGATTCTCCTCCTAGCTAGAGGCTGCCTTCAATTCTGAGACAGGCTTCAAAAGCATATATTACAGAACTGTAATATATATATAAATATATAAAGATTGTTTAAGCTGTACCCTAAATATTCTTATTATGCATATTAAAGATCTAGTAGTTTCTTTATTTTTCTATTTCCCACGCAGGACTTGACTCTACCACAAATTCTGTATTTAACTGACAAACATAAATAGGGTAAAACTTTTTATTTTCAAGTTGAAACCCAGATGGAAAAATCTTCCATCTTCAACCACATGAAGTGGCTTCAAACAGTACTAAAATCCAGATGGGTAGAGTCAGATCAAGCAAATCCTGCATCATGTATTTTTCATTTTTAATTAAATCAGTAATTTAACCAGCAACGTCATCATTGTAAATACTTTTCATTAGCAGCACAGACACATTACATTCCCTCTTGCAACTGAGGGTATTTCAGGTAAGGACATGTAGTTCTGCAGGATCTGAATACTTGTTATGTCTCTGTATCTACTAGTTTACTGTAAAATCCTCAAATGGGTGAGATTTTAATAATACAAGACTTTGCCTTTACTCACTTTATTTTCAGGATAAGCACTGACAAACTTAACCTTATCATCAGTGATAAGATTATAAAATAATTCTTATTCAGCAATTTATGACTGACACTTATTACTGACATCTGCACCACAGATCTACCTCTTCATCCCAGTAGGGCTTCAAATTCACTGAAAATTGCTTAAACACTTTTCATCCCAGGCTTCAAAGACAGGGAGCCTATCCTTTTACAATATATTGCTAAATGAAGATTATTCAGGGTTTCGTCAGTTTTTTTTTCCAAAAGTTTATGCAAAATAACAATACCTAAACAGAGCAATTAAGAGGAGCTTGCTTTTTCAGAGAATATCAACTTTGCCTTATGCATCTTCCTAAACTCATAAACATCTAGATGGGTCAAAAGAGGGGCAGGAAAAATTGAACTCTCCTTTTAGCAAAACTCACATATGAACACACCTTGGAGTTTTAGATAAACTAAAAAGGGAGAGGGAGAGGGGAAGGTGAGAAGAGGTGAAGGAATTGTATGTCATTGCCTCTTAAAATCCTCAATCAGTTAATACCATTTATCATTGCTTGGACAAGTTTTCTGCAGTTTTATAAACTTGGACTCTGCATGATGTGTAATGGGGATGGGATGTATCAGATTATTTGCAAACTTATAAAAGTGATACAGAGAATAGTTTTCTAAGATTTTTAGCATCATTAAGAATCTAATACCTACAAGTGTCAAGAATTTAGCAAATCTTTGACCTCTGTCCAGCATTGCCTACAGAGCCTATCTGAAGCTTAAATATATCATTTTAAGCTACACCCTACTAAAGATACTCAAATTATCAAATGATGCAGCTTGACAGATGCTCTTGTCTGTAGAAAAATGCAAGTCCTGTTCTTCAGCAAACTGACAGAGCTGCAAACTCAAAATCATTTGAAAAAGATATCAATTAATGATAACTTTTTAAGAATTTGCTCATGTGTAAGTAAATTGAAACCTCTCATCTTCATATGTGAACATGGGCACATATTAATGGTTGAAAAGTAAGTTAATCGTAAACAGTTTTAATAAGATCTACCTATCTGCTCTACTCTGAACATATTTCCTGCTCACTGCTCAGTTAGTTAGCACTCTAAACCCCAGATTGCTTACATTCCTCTCCAGGGTGGAGCACTGCACTATTAGTAAGGCAGACTTCTGAGTCATAACTACCAGCTGGCAGCACAAGCAGCTAGAGAACAGTTGGGTCAGAAATCTTTCTGCTTTGTTAGTTAACTTGCAAATAAGACAGGTTTTTTCCTCCTCCTCCCCGCTTCTCCCACTCCTCCCCAGCCATTTTTGCTCTTTTTATTTAAATATTGGCATCAATAATTATTAATGGTCTGATTAAAAGAGAAAAATAATCTTCACTAGCATGGCATATGCAAAGGGTCCATTTCCATTCAAAGCAATTTGAAAGCTCACATTAAAAAAGAAAGGATATGATAATAACATGACTCAGAACCTATCTCCACTTAATATACAATTATTTAGAGATTCAGGAATTTGCTGTATTTTGCTGACACTATTTTATATTTTAATTCATATTCTCCTATCTTTACATGCTGACCCTTCTCAGAGGACACGTAAGTTCTTGCTTAGCTCTACAGCTCATTTACTCAAAATTCTGAGATATAAACAAAAATAAACAGATATACACAGAAATGGTATATCTTTGAAAACAGTAAGATTTACCTTTTTTTTTTTTAACTAAATGTGTTCTAAGTAACTACAAAAGTCAGTTAACAGCTTTGGGTTTGTTGTTTGCATATGCTTTTTCCCCACCCCGCCCTTGAACTTTGACAGTCTTTTTGGTATAGCATACAGAATTTACACAAAATATATATATAAATGGAACACCAGGCAAACAATATTCAAATCCAAGTTAAATCTAGAGATGCTTGAGGGTTTGTAAAATGAAGAATTTAATGAAACTAGAACCCATTCGTTTAGTTCTGCTCTCCCCGACCTTCCATTCTATACACTATGGTTCTGGAGATGTCCTCGTTTGATTCAGGTGACACTTTTTTCCACACTGTTTCTTTTAAAGCAAGTTCTTGCTGGAGATTCTCATAGTCCATTGGTCCAAAGGAATGCTAGTTGTTCAAGCAACATACATTATTTATTAGTGTATTTGAAGGAAAAAAAAAATCCATTCTTGCAGTCAATGCTAATAGACTCAAGTTTTTCAGCTCTTCACATAAACTGCTATTTTCTCTTTTCCAGTTATAAAAAATTCAAATTCAAACCTGGTAATTTTTAGATGTATACATGCATATCGAAGCACTTTAAAAATCATTCTACTGCATCTTCTCCTACTGAAATCTTCATGCCTTAGTCAAAACATTAATGGTAATGAAAACAAAGAAGTTTTCCTTACCTCAAGCACCCTCACACTTTTATCTTTTCAGTCCATTCCCAGATATTGCTTTTGCTGCTTCTAAGTAACAGGCTCTTGTCTACAGGACTATTCACACCTGAATTCACTGCCTATGCAACTCTCAGCAAGACATGTGGTCTCAGAGATATCCCCATGAAAAGTACAGCTAAACACAGATCTCATGCATTGCAGCACAGAACAGAAAGGTTAAGCCCACCAGCTGGTCAAGTCTTTATTAAAGGCAACCAGTACAGTAAAACTCTTAGATCAGATATCATCTACTAAATCTAGCAGGGGAGATGAACTGCATGAAATGGAGTAACAAATCTAATATGAAATTCTGCTACATGAAACCCTGTGACGGTGTGGTCCACCCAGGTAAGTGTCCACTAATAATGTAAACTAACTAGATCATCTGAAAGCTTTGATGCAACACATGTCATTGAGCAGTTTTGTATTTAGAGAAGAACTTCCCGTATTTCCTCTGATGTCTACTAGCAATACTCACTAAACACAGACATCAACTTACCCGCTGATCACCACCTTCTCTGCGAGGATCAAGCTTTTTTGCAAAGTGTCTCAAATTATCGTAGTTATGGAAATTGCACAAAGAAACCAGATCCTGTAAATATTTAGAGAATATTCATTATTATCTGCATATGATAGCCAAGTGCATATGAGATAACAATACTACTACTAATGTTTTACATCATATCCTAGCAACTTAAGCCAGCAATAAGTTTATTTAATAAATCAGTATCAATGTCCATAGGGCCCTTTGAACGTAACATAATTACACTGTAAAGTTCTAATAACACCTTAAAACTCCTTCTTAAACAAGTAACAATTTGCAAAATATCTATTTTAATACCTTTCTATTCCAGCTGTACAGAACACTTCAGGAACAGAAAGAATAGCCTGGGCTAGTCTAGTACATCAAACTTCAATCAAAAGGGTGAAACAAGAAAACATGACATAATGGATTCTAATTCAGTTTGAATTACAGCACGAAAGGTTATAATTACAAAACTTGGCTATGCTGTTCTATTTTTAAAAGTGAATGTTACATTCACGTTACTTGTACACCATGATCATGAATCAGTTTTTAGGTCTCATTACCACACACATAAATGCAGTAAATCCTGTTGTTCTATGATTTTATAGTTAATTTGTTTGAATGTTAGATAAATAGAAGCATGAAAAGTTTTAACTGCTGCTCAACCTCCCATTTATAATTACATAATTGGTACTACAAGGTACTTTTCAGGAGAAAAGAAACAAGGAAGAAAACATTTTTCACATTCTCCTCTCCCACAAAACATCTTTATTAATCATTACATAGTACTCGACAAAATCTCTCCTGCTTCTAATGCTGCTATCAACAGACTATCCACAGCCTTTTCACTGGCAAGAGATGAAGCTAGGAAGAGCTTGCCCAACAGCTGGGTCTGATCTATAAAGACATCTTTTATGTCAGATGGTTTACAAAAATCAGTTTAAAAATACATCAGAATGGCAATATTTCATTACAGCCTTCTTCTTTTATTGCAAAGAAATAAGAGCTGCATTTGCAGTGTTTTGCAAATTGTTCACTTTATGACAGGAGAGGGGAAAAAGTCTATAGAGCTCTACAGCTTCTAATACAGTATATAAGAGACCAACATTTTCATTACTTCATGAACTGTTCCTTTTCAAAGCTTTTCCACAATAGATTTCTCTAGTGTTTTTGGCATCATATTTCCTTAATGGTCACTGAATTCAAGTGCTATTTATTACTAAAACGCAAATGTGTATTCTTGGACTTCCAGCCTTGAACCAGATGAAACTTGCTATGTAGGGAAGAATCACAAATCACTATTTAATTCACTTAGACCTCAGCTATGCTAACTGAAGCTCAGTAAACATCAGCTGCAAAAGGAAAAAAAAAACACAAAAAACCCCAAAGACAATGCAGCTTACATGACAAAAGTGAATTCCTTTAACACTGTTGCCCATCTTGTCCAAAGGAGGTGACCAGCACATCAACCCCATGACATTAGGAACAACCAGAAGAATCCCACCAGCAACTCCAGATTTTGCAGGAAGACCAACCTATAGAATAGAGAATTACTGGCCTCTGCAAACATTCTTCACTATTATAACACAATGCATCACCATTTTACTGAAGATTATTATGCAGTATTTATAAAACATGGATCTGGAAAGCACTTTAAGCTGGGAAAGCATTATTACTTCTCTCTTTTTAGACAGACAATAACCTGAAGCAAAGTTGTGGCAATCCAAGGTACACAATCATAAAACTATTTGCTGTCAGGAATACAGTGAGTCAGTAATACAGTGAAAAAGGATAATTTAAATCTATTATAAAAAAGCAATTATGACTAAGCAGTGGTGCACAAGTGTATCTGTCATGAACAGCTTGCAACGATGTAGTAGCACAAAGCCGTATAAATTTTTTAAAATCTTGACTGGAAAAGGTAAAAACCAAAACCACAAGAAAACTGAAGAGTCTGTCTATGAAATCACACAATAACCTACTTATTTACAATCTGGACAAAGGCATTACTTTTTTTCCAATAGGAATTAACATCCTTGTAGCTCTCTAAGCAGTAACTTTCAGGTCACACAAAGCATCATAATCAGTTTTACATGGATGAAGGAAACAAAACAAAACGCTGAGAGCACAAATAAGGTACAGTCCATCTTGAAATACTTACATGTAAGGAACATACTGCTGGAAAACAGAAAGGTGGTACATGTGCTCTGTGTGACAGACACTTTTACAACATGTAAGGACAATTTATGAGCCTGAGTTAGTGAAGAAAAAGCCAACTGTCTGCAAATGCTTTCTGCTACCTTTTACTCCCATGTAGCAGGATTTCTTCAGTTATGTTTTCAGTTACACCTGCATCATGACCTGTTTCTCCCATGAACAGCCCTTCCTAGTGAAGAGTATTTATGTTTTGACACGAAAAGGATTCCCAATTGTGAAGTGGCAGAATGCTATAATAAGGTATGTGATATTAGTCGTGCCATGAACCCTAGGTGAGATTCTCCCTTTTGGTGTGCTCACTTTCTAAACAATTCCTGGAACACGGAAAACAGTTGCAGAGATTTATCTTCCTGGTCAGCTATAATTAATATCTGAAAACTACTTACATGGAAGGCAAACTGCCCTGAAAAGTCATACATGCCACAGGAATGCATTAAGCTCAAGGTATTCCGGACTGCTTCAGGACTCAGTACTCTTTCACCAGTGATTGGGCAAAAGCCACCGTTAGCCAGAGTTGCTGCCATCACACTTGCTGATTCACATGTTACTTCTATTGAGCAAAGCTTATGAAAAAGAAATAGAGATTATAAGCACTGATACTTCTAGCACAGTAATGCCAACTACTGCAGGATCAACAATATGTCTCTACACAAATAACATCTCAAAATCACCTGCAGCATAACATTTGTTACAGATGACACTAAAAGCATCAATTAATACAGTCTGAATCTTTCTACTACAAAGATCCCAGCGACAGTGTCTGTAAGCCCTCTCAAAAGTTTGGGACAGTATTTTTATGGGTTAGTGTCTCTGCTTGATTCCTCCCCCCACCCCCCCTTATGTTCCTTTGAGAGGACGAGGTCTGTAAAACAATCTCAGTATTTTGCATCTGCTTAAATGTCAAAGCCACAGAACGACTGTTTTTTTCAATTTGAGCTCATTTTGTGTGGGTTTTTTTTTTTAAAAGCCTTAGAAGATCCCACACATTATTAGAAGTACATTTTAAAGCTGCAAATTCTAGCACATGCAAGTCTTAATGCCAGCACTTCCTGCTGATGCAGCCTTATTTCACCTTTCTCATATATGCTTTTTTATATAGTAATGATACAACCACACAATAGTTTTTCCCAGGATCCCTGCTTCAGTACAGACTATACATACTTTGGTGACACATCAGGAAATGTGATATGATGCCATCACCTGATGCTGCCTCATTTCTGCAGAAACCAAAAGATAAGTTGGTTTCAACCTGAAGCTGAAATGCTGCTCTAAAAAAGTAAACAAACTAATGCTCGTATTCTTGCTTTTGCCAAACAGTCATTACATGATACTTCATGAAGTTACCTAAGCCACGTTTGCATGAGTAGTTACTACCTGGAATTCTTATTTTCCGGGTGCCAAACTCAATACATCCTAGTCCAATCAACTGGAGTTGCAAATCAAGAGATTGTCAGAGACGCATCTAAAATGGCAACTGTGTTTTAAACATATGAAGTATTACATAATATCACCTACTTTGAAAAAAGAAAATTCTTTCTAGGTTCTCAGTTTAAGCACCTGCATTTTGTACCTTGTTTCTCTAAACTGAGAATAATCCATCCTCACTTTACAGAGATAATAAACAAATAAGTTTATTCCTGTTCAGAAAGTTCCCAGTTACACAAGGGATGAAGGAGCATTACAGAAAACCCAAAGAAAGAAATAACTAGACTTTTAAGTAGAATCTGAGTGTTGGAAAGCTAGTCTTGTACCATAACAAGAAAACAGAAATGCCGCTCGTGTATGAGCTACCCTTTCTGGGACTTTTCAAGGGAAACAGAGAGGATGACACACAATCATTAAATTAGAGATCAGAATGCACAAAAATGAGGCCAAATTAAATACGTCAGACAAGTTAGCTTTAGCATTTCTTAACTTATGAATAGCTTTGTCTCAGAAGCATATCAGGTCTCGAGGCAGTGGGGTACGAAGCATTTAAAAAGCATGTTTAAACAGTAAATTCAAATAAATATCGGTTCAAATATCAAATTCAAATACTGGTTTTGTTCTGTCAGAAGGGAAGTTCAGAGTAGACTATTAGCTTGTACCTAGTTTCTAACTCAACAAGAAGTCAACTACAGTTAATCACACACACCTTACTTCATAAACAATCATCCATCTGATCTATAGATAAGAGCAGGTGCATCCCAATAGAAAAAACTCAGACAAAATTTGCATTTTGAAAATAATGGTTTATACTTTGCATAAGTAAGAGCAAGTCTCTGAGTCAAAAACAGATTCATTTTGAGAACTGAACTCTTTATTTTTTTAAACTCTCCCAAATGAGCTGAATCAGTTACACAACTTGAACTGCCTCCTGAGAACTCTATACAGCAGAGCTAACTGAGCTGGGAATGTTTTAACATTAGGAAACCCTCACTCAGGAAATACCTCGCACTTGCCAAGTTCTCATTTTGTGACAGTTGCAAATAACTTGCTGAAAGTGAAAATGAAAAAAAAAAAACAGAGGAGGGCAGAATATATGGGACACGACTATTTTACTGGTAACCACTGAATAAACAAAGAGGAGGAGATATTTATATTACTTCACTTGTAACACTAGGCTTGAGCTTACAAAAGAACATGCATTCTTCAGTTACACAGAGTTTAAAATACTTGGCAGTACTGTAAGAAGCAGCAACCCGAAGAAGCAGAAATGTTTTGTCAAACTCACTGAAGTAATACAAGACATTTTAAGCCTCTACCTATCAGCCTTTTAAAGATTATTGCTAGTTTCCATCAGCAATAAAGACATCTAAGTACATCCCTTAAGCAAAAGCAAATCTGGATACATCAAACATACATCATTCATTTCCAGAGTCTAACAGAAGCTGACAAGTTTAAGTCATTAAAACCTTCATATCTAGGCACAAATCAGTTTTTACTGCTTATATTAGCAATTCTAAGTCTACAGTCAATCTCAATTTTAAAGTCAGTTACCTGAAAATAGAAGTCTAGTATAGCAACCATATCCGTGCCTTCAGGAAAGCACTGAGGAAGAAAAACAAAGAGTCTTTAGGTAAAATTATTATTTTTTTACAATATTGCTTTTAGAAAAACATAAATTAAGCTATATTTTTGTCAGCATGCTAAGCATTAGGCATATTTTAAAATAAATATTTAAATGCAACAAGTAGAAATATTTAATCAAATCACATTTTAAATAAGTGCAGTGAAATCAATAAGTTAGGTATTAAAATATTTTTCAGTACAGCTTTTAACATCTTCAAATCAGTAAACTGAAAAATGCAACTAGGAGTTTTATGAAGTCATCTGGACAGCACAGATTATGCATTTTACAACAAACAAATTAACATGGCTATGATAAAAAAAAGTTTAGAGGTATTCTATTAAAATTACATAAGAATCACACTCTAAATGACAGCACTTTGAATAACAGTGAGAAAACATATACAGTAATAATTTGTGCCATACTGTACATCAAATAAATTAAAAATCTTCACAGACTATGAAGAAACCCCCACGGAGTCTTCAAATCACATTTAAAAGAGATATCAACCTTTTTTTCTTTCAAGTAATAGCCAATTGCAAAGTTTCTATCTCCACTCTCTCTTTCAGACTGGAACCTAAAAGTGAAAATAAAAACAAACAAAAAACCCAAATAAACACAAGGCAACATGTCAATCTTGAGTTATGCATAATGTCATTTATGTCTGAACACACATATTCTACTAATGGGACAGAAGTTCCATAGATGCTCATCCCAGTTCACCCAGATGGAATGAATTAGCCTTGACATCCAAATACACACAGTAGTGGTGACCTACACATACATAAAGGAGATAAGACTTGGAGATAAGGTAAAGAAGGGTAAGATCCTACTCTTGGAAGCCTTTCTAGATAGCCCATAGTGGAATGAAACATCCCACACTGAGATAAAGTGAGAGGGTCATTCCCTGAGAACTCTGACCAAACCAGAGCAATCTGGGGATCAAGAGGCAGCTCAGACAATGATCAGACTGAGGGCTGCACTCTTTATCGTGATGATTAAGGTAAGGATGTAACCTAAAGGAGGAATACGTACGACACAAGGATAAGTAATTCTCTCCTGCCTGGTTCCTTCCATGGTACATACCTTTTACAGGAACAAAGTTCAGGAAAAACACTAGTTATCTCATTCTGCTTCTCTGCACCTGCATGCCAGCTGACATAGAAGCAACTCTATGTGGAATCTTCTTGATTTTCCCTGTGCTGCCTCAAAAAGCTCTTGAGATTTCTGGAATGCTATACATTAATTTTATAAGGGAACTGTTTGTTTGAGAAAAGTATTTAAATATGCAAAATAAAAAAACAGAACGAGTGCCAGCTGTATGAACTATGCTTTCTAAAACATTTGATATGCAGCTGTCAACATGTAGGGTTTCATTTTTAATACGAATGCCAGGAAGAGAAGAGTTGCACTTACAGCTCTCACTGCCATAGCACCAACAGAGCACTAAGACAGAATAACGACAGTTCAAAGAGGTAACCAAAAATTTTAGGTGAAATTTAGCCACACTGATGTCAGAGACATGCACAACTTTAGTTTTAAATTTTAAGCCAAGGAGACCCTCTGATATTAGGGATGAAATGCTGATTCAATGTAAATAATTGAACTTATACCAATTATCAGTTAAAGTGCTTTCTGCTCAACCTCATTAAGTAAATAAAAAATACTTACGTAGCATTACTGAATCCAACATACTCATTACCAGCCATTTTATTCATGAACTGCATCACCTGTTAGAGACAAAGAGGGGGAAAAGCATGCTAACATCTTTACACAGTAAAAAGTTATGAACTTTCAACCCAGCCTTACCCCAAAATTTTGTAACACAATTTTACAGATGCAATCCAAATCACTAAATGTTTAAACAACCAAGTGCAGCTACAAAGACAAAACATATATTACTAATATTTCACTTGCAATTCCCTCGCCATCTTTAAACTTTTATCACTGAATTTAATTAAAAAAGGAATGTTGTAACATTAACTTACGTAGTCAAATTTTTCTGCATTATTTGCTCCTTGCTGCAAGAAAAGAAAAAATAATTTACAAAAATTGTTAACGTAAGAAAGAAGTTAGTTCACTTAACAGTATTAGGATTTTAATGCATATAACTAAGGTATGAGGCTAATTAAGAATAACAATCATTTCATATATTAATGAAAAAATTAAAGTGTTAGGTAAGTAAATCTTTAATTATCATTTAAATAATCCTATAAGAGTCTTATCAAATACCTGTATGTTGGAAATTAATTTAAACTGAGAAAGGTATGCTTTACTTTAAGTGCTCTCTATTCAATTTTATGTGCTTAGCATAAGCAAATGCAGTAGCTAAAGCAAAAAATACAAAAGTAACTACAGTCAAGCTAATTACAGTAAAAATACTAACTTTTTACAGGTTAGTAATCCAAAGGTATTCTCATACTACCAACAGAGCTGAGCATAGGGAGGTTCAGGCTACTGAAGTTAAAATATTTCCATGGCTAGTGCCCATACTTAGAATTTAGATTAAAGACTTAAAAGAAAGTGTTATCCCTTACTAAGAAAATAATTGCACTTAATAAAAAATATCTGATTAATGTCCTACCTATCAAAAACTGTTTAACAGCTGGAAAAACAGAATCTCACAACATAGGGCATATCATTGTGCTAACAATGTACAGGAAAATCTAAATCCAACTTAATAGGGATAGTTTGTTGGTTTGTTTTTTCAGGGAGGATAAGGGGTGTTACTTTGGGGCTTTTTTCTGCCCTCTCATTTAAGAAGATCCTCCAATTTAGCAGCTGCCAGTTAAAGATGTATTAATTCTTTAGAGGGCTCTGATGGGTGATCTTTCAGAAATTTCGATAGGAAGAGACTGAAAGAGGAGTGGGAGGTAAAAAATAGTGCAAGGTCTGTTGGGGGGACTTCTTAATTTTTTTAAGTAGCCAAGTAGAATTTTTTGAAGAAGTTTAAAAAATAGTGGCATCGCACACACAAATGGAAACAACGTATCTGGAGAAGATGTTTTAATACATAATTTTAATATTAAAGATACTCTATTTGGAATAACAAAACTCTAACAAATCTCAAACAATTCAAGACACTACTTGCACTGCGTTTAGTGTGGGGACGGAGAAGGCAGTGGAAAAACAGGAGCTTCATATCAACCAGTTATTTTACTTAATGAAATGCATAAAGCCAGTCTTATTTCCCACTCTGCATGTGGAATTAAGGTGTTGCAGATAATCTCTGAAGCCCATGCATCAGCTCATCTACCAGAGGATGTGCAGCCATACACGTACAATCACTAGTGAAAGGAACACCACACTGTTTTGTCAGAGTTATGTGCCAGTGGTTGCCTTATGCTAAGAGGCTAATAACCTTATTCTTAAAAGGCAATAATCTCTAGCTAATTTGCAATAAGATTAAAAAAAAAATCATGATACATTTCATCAAAATGTTCCTGTATAATATACCAGAACACAAGTCTTAAAAATTTAACTCCAAATCTGTTCAATGAAAAATAATTAAAAGAAGAAATTACCAACTTCATTGAACTGTTGCAGTTGTCAAAATATTCCATAGATCCTAATGCTGTAAAATATGTAACAACATTTAAACCACAAAAACCTTTTCAACCTTTCAAATGCACAATGAACATCTTTTTCTGGGAAAGTGGGTCAGCATTAGTTATGGGATGCTGCATTGATAATTGTATGGTTAGACATGTATAATAAATTGAAACAAGTTCTTTTGTTAAAAAAAAAGGAAGAGGGAGAAAGGGATCATGCTTTCTGAAAAAATATAAATGCATAATACTTCACTTTTTTGTTTTGCCCAGTTGAAAAAAATTCCCCTCAACAAAAACCTAGCTTTACCAGCAGCACACAAAATTGGTGGGCAAAAAGACTCAATGCAAACTTTTTCCACATGAACTCTTTATAAAAAAGGTTCCTTTTAAAGTTTACAACTAAAGTCACAGTTTGGGAAGAAAATCTTCAGTATATTAACTCAGGCAATGCGTTCTTAGTCCTTGATGATCCACACACTTGTATAGGTATTTTATATCAAACCAAAAGCATTGTTACTGAAATTAGACTGCTCAAACACCTGAACTATTTGCCAAAGCAATCACATGATCACGACCTCAGTAGATTTACTACAACGTGTAACTGAAATAGAAAACTCTGATCCATACACACCATGACTAAAACCCCAACATATTAGTTTCCCTCTTTCAGCAGCCTCCTAAAAAGCTGAAGAGACAGTGGCAACACACATTCTATAATTAACATTCAAGTGCAAATATAAAATCCTAACACTCAGAATACTGAGTAGCTTTTCCAGAATAATTTAAACAAACATGAGAGACAAGAAAACTTCTGTCCTTCCCACAAGTGCTTCTTATTTTTTTGCTTGACTCTATAAACCTCTGAGGTTGGGGGCACTGTGACAATATTTCTTAAAAAGCATTTTTTAAGTTCAGATGCAATTCACCTGTCCAAAACATCAATGAAAACATTCCATGCACTAACTCCACAAACACTCTGTACATTTACTGGAACATATGTCCATATACACACTTACTTATACATGCTCGTGTGTATATACATATGAAAAAACATTCCTAAATGAATACAAAATTAAATTTAGAATGTTAAGATTGAAGCAGTTTGATAGTCAGAAAATTCAAACTTGCAGAAGACAGCTCAGTACAATTTTGTAAACACTTCAAATACCAATGGACACTATGGCTGGCGATCATAAATTTGAATTTTTTGACTGTGTCAGGTTTTAGTGATCTTCCCTTTTTTTTCCCCTAAAAAACCCCAAGCTACTTGCACTGTATTATTTGTATTTTTACTAGGAAAATATAAACAGTTGCAAAGGTTGCATGTCTACGTAGAAAAGAGACCCACAGATACTTATCAGAGTTTGCAATAACAAAATTAGGCAATATTTATTAGAAAAGTAGTTAACATTAGCCACTTTTCATTGATCAATATTCAGTGTTTACATGATTAGGCCACATAAGCTCTTACTATGTGTCTCTTTTAAGTAATTTTTCAATTTTGAATCTAAGCAAAATTAATAGAAACATCTTGATCATGAGAAGTTTATAATCTTCTAATAACACAAAATTACTTAAAAATTAATTTCTGGAATCTTTAAAGCCAAATTTATAATCTAACACTATACTGTGATGAAAACATCTAGAAACAGAAAATCATAATACTATGTCGGAGTGCAAGAAAACTGTTTTATATTTGTGCACTTTTCATTCAATTATCAATGTCTTTATTTCAGTTTTCTGTACTTAAATGCACTTTCTAAATTTCATTTGTTAATGTGGTTCTGTCCTGTGAGAACCAGTGCCTTGACTGTTTAGTGCACCATTTTCAGCTCTGAAATAAGTACTTGTCACAGACAGCATTTGACCCACTAAGACCAATACTATTACCATTTCAAATACATATAAAAATTATTTTTGTGTCCTTCACTTATGGGCACATGTGACCACTGAATACATGTAATTCACAGTGTCTATCGCATAGTCTATGTCAAATAACACCCAGTACACTTGAGTTACAATAAAAAGCAAGTGCAGAATAAAGTGGACGTATGTTCTATCCAAAATAAGTTACTCCAAGAAAATTAATAACCCAGGAAGAGACGACACATCACCAAAATAAAGACAAGTATCTGGTAGAGAAGATCACAATGCCAACACATGTTTTAAAAGTGGTATGTACATACATTCACACATCAGCCTATCAGGAAGGATAACTGGAGTGGTAGCACAGAGCAATTAAGCTAAATCAGTACTATTTATTGTAACTATAATAAACCCAATAAACCATGCCTTTTCCCACCCCTCAAGTATTAGACTAACTGCACAGATTTCCTAATAACTGAATCCTGACAGCAAACAGATGCTCAGCACAGCTAGGCAGGTTTTTTCCACCACTCCTTGACTCATTTATTTTATGACTTATCAGGATATGCAGAAAGTTCTTAAAGTGCATTGCATACGCCTCTGTGTTTTATACAAAAACAAAGCTCCCATTGAATTAAGGGTTTTTTTAGGGTCAGCAACAGCAGTATTTTCATTTTCTCATACACCAAATTTTTGCAAGGACTATGAATATCGTTGTCCTACCCCCAACACGTCTAAATGCTTCCCACCTTAATTCAAGACCACAGAATACTTCCCTTCAAGGAGCATTCAAATGTCTACAACTGTCTGTGTAGGGTCCTACGTGTGGCTGTCAGCACTTGAGGATTTACAGACGCTTTATGGGCCTGAATCTTTGCTGTTAGATTAGGAAAACTTTTATCTACAGATGGAACGTTAAAACATACAATAAAAATGACTTATGATTAATCCCTTGTCCTCTGGAGATTCCTTCCACAGCCATCTGCCTCCTTCCACATATTTCACTCTGAACCCTTCCTCTTCCTCTCACCCACACTTCTAACGTGCCAGTCAGTAAAGGTAATGTGGAAGTGGCAATCACTGACACAACCACTGGACACAACCCCCATGCCTGGGGTTGACAAGCTTTGAGAACTGAGTCTAAGATTTAAGAAAAAATAACAGATCAAAGCAGTAAAATCTATCCATGCTACAGGCAATAAAGGATTTTCCCAGTCAATGTGATGTGCAAAAAGCTGCACTGAATCTGTACTAAATTTGTACAGAAGCTGAATCATCTTCTTTTGAGCACCTGTATTTCCTTGGAGACGTGAAAGAATTTACCATTTTATCAAATATCACTCTTCCACAAACTCCTGTAATTGCCAATACAATTTTCTTTTGATAACAACTATTTGAAAATTGTTGTAACTATGTCATTTATATAACTAGTAATAAAGGCAAATGGCTGTACGACTATCAACAAGGGAAAAAGGTCCTTAGGGGTTTTTTAAATTTCATTTTATTAAAAGTGACCCATAGGATGTCCTTTTGCTAATGCATTTTTATTGTAGATCCATGCTTTAAACTGCTAGAACAGTCTGTGGAGTATAATGCAAGTATAATAAGAACAGGGCCATGAGTTAAGGCACCAAAACATAAATACATCATAGCCCCAAACATTTAAGCTGGCAGAAACATGATACAGTCATGCCTAAGTAACTCAAACAAATGTACAATTTAACATGCACATACCCTTAAATTATTTATTATTATGAATAGCAAGGACTAAATGTAACCTCACAATTTAGGTCCATACTCTGTTCCAAGGTGCATATACCAAACTCTTATGGCAGTCAGAACTGGGTATGTGATGCTAAGAGCCCTTTTTTCCCCTAAAATGTTAACATATTACATGTTAACATATTCTGACAGAGAGATTACTCCAAGCATCACCTCTTATCCATAAATAATCATAATCTGTGTCAGTCTCTTAGGACAGTTGTGTGCAAGATCACATTATATCCACAGCTCCTAAATTCAGTAAAACACTGTACTGTCAGTACAATGTAAATTTTGAAAGACTTCTAAGATCAATTTCTCAGAAAGAGATAAAATAATGACTCTCAAAGGAGATAAAACCATTCTTAACCATCAAATAACAGCAACAATCTCTCCATAGCTATCAACATGCTAACATTAGATGAACCTGTCATACACAGTGAATTCAATCATGTTTCATCTCTTAATTTTCTTGGACTCTAAGAGCCATACACAGTCTTCAAGACATATAAGTAGCACCTTAAATAAAGAGAATGAACATAGAGGAATTGAGGGCAAAACACGAGTTAATGAAGCCACCTTTTTCAGAAAAACATTTGGTATTAGATCAAATATAAAGGTGAGTTACTTAAATCACCAGTTAGTAGGAATACTGTTAACTTGTAGATTATAAAGAAGTTACTTCACAAAAAATACAACTATTAAGTAATTTTGTACCTGTGACCCTCCACATAATTTTCTTCAGAATATGTTTAGCTTGGTTAGTTATTCAAATGATAAATGGTATCTTAGTGAAAGCAGTACATAAAATAATCTGCATTTTAATCACACTAAAAACAAATAATGGACTGTGATAAGTAAGATATGCGTCCACTAGACGTGCAGCTACTACATGCAAAAATGTTAGTGCAATGCAACACTCTTAATAAAACATTACAGAAAAAAAAGATTTAAAAAAAATACAGCAAAACCAATCCCCCAACCTTCTAACAAATATCACAATGGCATGCAATAAACAAATCCATGTTATATATTCAGGAGTACACCATTTATCAAAAACTACGTGCCTTCCACAGGAGGCACATGCTTGTGTTTTGCCTTATGATCAGTAGGGCATGTTGTAGTTGGACTAACATTTTGACACTTCAGACAAATGTGTTAAGTCATATTTTAAAATTCACTGTTATCCAAGTGAATTTCAATGCTCAGTCAACCTTCAAAAAATATTAAATGTGAATAAATTTACCTGTCATACTTAAGGCCATTTTCTTTCTCCTACAGCTATTAAAGATAAATGTCTTTAAGCAGGAGTTCTTACACCTTCTTTAAATATAAAATAACAGAAAATCATGATCTAAGTAATTTTAAAACCAACAATTTGGAAATAGGAGGTAGGAAATACACTGTAACTAATGGGCTTTGAAATGTAATAAGAAAAAGGTTGTAAACAAGATTTTTCAACCTCTGAAGTAACAGTATTAAGTTTATTACTTAAAAGCTCCAGGGAATTGACATGTTCCCCAAAACTCTATGCAGGTACCCATAGAAAAAGAAATATTTTTTGTACCTGTGGCTACCAAAAAAGGCAGAAAATATAAGTAAAGTATCAGGTAAACATTAGCATTATATGAAGTTTATACCATTAACAATTTCAAGGCATAAATACAGCTATTCTATGGAAAAAATAAAATGCAGCATTCCAAAAGTCTCAAGATCATGGACTGAAGATGGTAAGTCATTATTCAGCCATGATTTACTCAGCAAAATATGAGTAACTGTTTCCAAACACTCTTTTTTTAAGAAAGTACATTTACATTGCAACAGCAACCATATAACATAGAAGGTAAACATAATTTAGTTGCACAGTATGTTAACAGCAAACAAATTCAATATTAAGACTGACATTCAGATACAGCGACACTGCTCCTGTACAGCATCTTCCATTTCTTCTGCACAGCAAGAAATACTCTTGTAACTTTATGTTATATGAGAGCATTAGACATTCCCAAAGATATTTCTGAGTGCTATAAAATATATTCCTGAGGAATATACTTCCACAGCATTCAACAAGAATGAGCCAATACTCTCAAGAGACTATCACAAGTTGTGCAGCTAAAGAAGAAAACCAAAACATTACCACTAAGGAAGAAGAGACTCTTTCAGCTGCACTGTTACATTTTAAAAACTACTTAGTCTAACACTGCACTTGTTTGGGCTACTATGTCCAAAACACCAGAGCTTGTCTCCCTGCCAATGAGTAAACTTCCATCAGACACTGCAGACAAAAATTGCAAACAGTTCATAATCTGTACAAGATACTTTCTCTACATTCTGTTAAAATACTCCAAGAGAAACTAAAAATTAACTTTTTACCTTGATTAAAGATGTGATCACAATTGCTCCAGCATTCACCATAGGGTTATGAGGCCTGTCTGTGAAGTAAAGTTTTCAATCATAAATATATTCGAAGACATGTTTGTCAAACAAAACCAGTCAAGTGTTTAAGTGAAAAATTATTCTACATTCACGTATGACTTAAAGCTATTATTACAGAACAGTTTTATATAATCCTAAATTTTTTAAAAAATCCTGTAATCCAACACTACACACAATTTTTTGTAATTCTGAGCAAAGTATTTTACAGCTGAGAGCACACTAAGCCTTATGCGACTTCACCAACCAGTAAGTTATTCCGTCTGGTATAATTTCTTTTCTTGAGAATTATGAACCCTTTCCAGTGTCCTAAGGATAAAACAAGTGGAACAACCCCTACAAGACTTTCAAATTTTTCTCCCAAGTTACCAAATCTCAGTGATTTTAACAGTGTTCAAACAGGTCCTTTAAAAAACAAACAAAATACATTTCTCGAATTTCCTTATTGCTGTACATGATTGCTTTTAAGAATCAGGGGGTTCTGCTGGCAGCTTCTGAAATGTAAATAACAATTTACTCATCCTCACTAGGACTTCACTTACTTCATGGCTGACTTGCATATACCTGCTATATTTAAGTTTTCCTTTTTATCACTGACCTCCATATCAACAGTATCTTGGCATTCCCAAGTCATTCTTGGTTGCACATGTGAATGAATCACCTTCTTTTTCATCTTTTTCAAAAAAAACATTCCTTATCAACTGTCTTACTTTTCCCAAATATAACATCTACCTCCTACAGTCACCTTTTCCTTTTTTAACTAACATTTCTGCTGTGCCTTTTATCTAGAATATTGACTTTTGAGCGTTCTGGTGTCTGAAAACCTCAACCAATTCTCAATACATTAATATCATGAGAGGTGATTGATGCCCCAGCCTGTCATTGTCTAAGAGACACCTGGACAATGGCCTTAATAGGGAATTGCTGTAGGTCCCTTCCAGCTGCAATATTCTATTTTACAGTGAAGAACATCTCCACAGACTTAAGATATATTGGCCTTCTCTAAGGACTAGGATGCCTAAATAAAATCTTACATTTTGAAAGATTCCTGCTAATTTCAAAGAAGATATGTCTTCCACTCCCATCAATAACACTTCCATTCTTTAAGGTAATTTTTCATCTCTTGAGGATACATAGGTTCTGACACTACATTAATTGTTAAGGAAAGTCATACATTGGTCTACTTCTAAAGCAGCAGCAACTACTGATGTACCTCACAGTGGGTGCCATCAGCAAGAGGATTCCACATTGTACAGCAACAAACCATGAAGACTGATACTGTAGTTGCAAGCTTGCCAAAGAGGTGAACAAATTCATCCCTTAACCTTTAGAAAGAGGTAATCCAACTCTGCAAAGCTAACTGACACACTTTACTAAAACTAATCACACACACAAACTCTCTTATCAAATAACAAAGGCAATGATCTGCTCAGACTGAAAAAAAAAGACATCTTTTACACAGCTTCTCTGCAAGTTACTTATACTGCTCTATCATCTCATTATACTTCAGAGTAAATTCATGTCTCCATCCTTAATGAAAAGCACAAGTCATAATAACTCTTCATCTTTAACTGGGATGGCCTAATTAAGTCAAGCCCTGATTCAACATGTCTCTTGCATAAACAATCCACCTAACAGCCTCTGAATAGTAAATATATTCTTCACCAATAAGGTGTTGTTTTTCCTGTAGGAAGGAGATACTTGTATAGAACAGACTTTTACACAGAGAACTCCAGTATCTTTAACAGACAGAAAAAAATATAATTTATTTAAGTTACCTAAGAAACTTCTCCACTAAACATCACTATTAAATGGAGAAAAATATGTATTTATTTAATAGTCAAAACTGCCTGACAATTAGCACAACTGCTCTGGCAACCTGCCAGGCAATTATGGCATATGCAAACTAGACCTTTTCTCTAATAAGCTCAAATTACAACACTTCTCCTCTGCCAGTTCTTCTGACCTTTTTGGTCCATCATTGGCCTTAGGCCTTTTTTGTACAACTAGACTGCAGTCTTTGAGCACAGCAAGCAGAGGTTGCCACACTTACACCATATGGCATTTTAATACACAGAACAGTTCATCATGGAAGCTCTTGAAATGACATGAAAATGTGTTTCTCCAATAAAAAACTTAGAGAACACATTCCATTTTTGGTGAAGAAAACCCTTTAGCAAAATAAACAATTTCCATGCAATCCCTCATTTAATGAGAATACAACATTTATTACTGGACTAAGTTCCATAAATAATAATATTACTGGACTAATTCTGCAAATAATTATCACCAAGACAAGGTTTTATGTATGGATAAGGGATATTAACTGTTCATATATACACAGGTATTGTCAAGTTGCATCATGAACTTAACAGGCATGAAAAAAATCTGTAAACTGCTCAGTGACTATAGACAGGAAAATTATTCCTAATAATGCCTGTTTCAGACATATTTTACTATGTAAAATTTCTGATCTACTTCAGTCAACTAGAATAATCTTTTTTAAATTAACAAAAATTACTTCACTCCTCCAGAAATCTGAATTGCTGGAGGGGCCATATATTCCCTTTGATAAAACAAGTTTTAAAACTGAATATTCACAAGGCTGCAGAAGTTTCCAAATTTCCATTGCACAGCACGGATCATACTCAAAATATAATAATAGTTTTTTGTTATAGGTTGGTATTTTTAGCTGTAATGTAAAATTGTCTTATAATATTCTCCATTCTTTCTAAGTTAACTCTTGATACTAGTAAACAACGAAAAGGAAGAACATCCTGCTTTAGGAATCTTCAGTGTAGTAAATATAAAAATAATAGCTTCAGAGGCATGTCTAACCAGTCTTCAAATACCTGTGTCCCTTGATTACAAACATGAAATTCAACTATATCTGAATAATTAGAAAACAAATAGATTAAATATCTATACTTTTTTTTTTCAATTTTCAAATCCCGTCTTCAAAGTCTTTATGCATGTTCAAACTGACAAACACTCTGCATATCCAAATTTCATACATCACTTTAAATCTGCAAGAAAAGTGCAATCCCTTCTTCCCTCCTCATCCGTCAATTGCAGAAACTCAGCCTCCCTTCTCCCTATAACTGAAATATTCCTATTTATTAGACTTCCACCTCTTCTCTATTAATTTCATAATCATTGGTCAAACTTTCAATAACCCAAATTCTCTGACGTATAACAGTCTTACAAACACTCTTAAAGAATAACAGTAATGTAAAACACCACAGCCCACCAATTCATCTTCTCCCTTAAGTTCAATTTCAAAAGTAGAACTAAAAAGAAGAAAATATTTATTATACTTTCTGTCATTTTATTAAAAAGAGAAAAAAAACAGAATATCTATATCAGTCCAAAGGACTAAATGGGCAATTTTCAGCACCATCAAAACTTTTTTTTTATAGTAAACCTTTTGTAGCATATGAAAGACAAGTCTTCTTCACACTGTTACAACAGTGTATTTGGAAAAACAAGAAAAGCAAAAAAAAGGCAGCAAAGCTTTGACAAAATACTTAATTTCCTCCTGGCAATATATTCACATGTTGGCATTTCACCACCATTTACTAGCACAATAAAAATGAAGAAATAAATTGTCAAGATATATTTTAAGTATGTAGAGATGGGTTTAATCCACAAATAAATAAATTTTATATAAAAATTATTTGCATATATGTGTAAATATATTCAATATAATAGTGTATCATTAATACAGTAATAATATAGATATTTAAGTCAGAATTCAATACAGCCCTAGACAAAAATATCATCCAAGCCCTATGCTGTTAATTAAATATTAATTGCAATACCATGGCAACAGAAACATTGTCTGTTCTCTTACTGAGACAGATCTGCTAGAAGAAACATTTGTGTTTCAGAGATAACATCCAGTATTTCCTCTAAGGCTACATGAGTCATCCTTCTCAGATTTTTGCCATAATGTTTTCTTTTAAAATAACATATCCATACTTGAGAATTAAGACAATATTAATAATAAATAATCTAGATAAAGTACTGTAGGAGAAATTCTTGCTAAAACACTCCTGGCCACAGGGGAAAAAAAATAAAATAAAAACATTGTTTTGAATCAGTAGCCAAATTCCATTTAGAATAATCTGTGGGAAGATGTGTTTAATTTTGCCTTCTGGAAACCAGTCAGCGCTGGCCTTTGGCACCAGCACCTGCTTCTCAGAAGGCCAAGAAGAGAAGTGATATACATGTTTCTTAAAATCATTTTAACATCTTTGCTTCTTTCACCACCATTTTACAGAAGGTATGATTAAGGAACACATGCTACCAACTTAACCAAATAAATACAGATTTCAAATACCTGCATTATCAAAATCCTTTGGGTTTTCCTACAACTCAACAGCTAGTGAAGAGAACAGAAGCAATAAAGTATCTTTAACTAGCATTTTAAATGAGGCAAAAGGACTGACAAAGACTAAGTCTACCTTGCTGGTGGCAAAATATTTTGAGATACTGTCTAGTAATAAGATTTAAGAGGATACAGTAAAATGAAGAGACTGAAAAAACTGCGTAGCTTGTTTTATAATTTTCTAAAATTCAGTTTTGCATTATTATGTGTTATATATCTCTTACCATCTTCGTTCAGGAACAATTTGTTGAATCTTAGTCCACTAGGCTCTTTCCCAACATATCTGTGCACATACTCTGTGCCAAGATCATTAACAGCAATAGCATATTTCAAAGGCTTTACGCAGGACTGAAGACAAAACGGAACTTTGGTATCACCAACAGAATGCCTGGGAAAAAAACACAGATAAAGAAGTTTGAAATTTCCTGTTTGTCAGCTGTGGTAGTAGAGTGTTATATGCTACATCTACTCTTCAACATATAAGGACTATTAACAAAAACACCCCAAAACCCCAAATCATGTTATTATTAAGTACCATTTTAAAGAACATAACAAAGAGATTTAAAGATTTTAACAACTGACTCTATAAGCCAAGTATAACAAAGTCAGTTGCTAATGATTATTGTAGATGTAATTAAAAAAATAAGCAAATTCAGAAACAGGTCTGTACCAGGGCAAAAAATCACCTCACACCTCTAGTGCCACACTTACCCTATGCAATTGCAAACTAAATACTCAACAGGGTACAGCTGACCTGAATATAGCCACTATTCATATTTATGTCTATATAAACAAAGACGAGATACAATTTGGTTTGGGAATTTGGGGACAATAATTAAATAGCTGTATTTACATCCCCTTTGATAATGGCATAGGTATTTTATAACAACTACTAAATGCTATCTTTGGGAAAGTTTACTTTCAGCATCTGTCAGACTGCACCAAAGCATGACTCATACAAGCAGCATATGCCACATCTAGAGCAAAAGGCTTCAAGCAATCACTTGTCTAACGGCAAAATCGGAAGTTTATTCGATTCTTTTCTTTGCAGAAAATGCAAGAAGGCTTCAGAGAACGTACATTATAAAAGCAAACATTATGCAACATTAAACATAACAAAAATAAACATTATAAAAACTTTCACTGGTACATGATATAACATCCAAAACAAAGCAAAATGCCAATTTAAAATATTCAAAAGGATGAACATTTTTATTTTTGAAGTTGTTTTACTACGAATAGATTATAATTCAGACACTTAAACAGGGAGATGAAAAAAATACTTCAGCTCACTTGTACAGCTCCTCCCCTAGAGATTACAGAGCATATGGCTAATTAGAAACAAACATACAGATCATAACAGATCACATTAAAATGATGCTCTCTCAGGAATGCCCCGTTCACAAACTCAACACCTAAAAATTACGGTTCTCAGGTTGTGTGCAGTACCACCACACAACCTGCAGCCCAGCAGGGACACCTGATGAGCTGATGAGCATCTGATTGTCTAGTCACAAAGGCAGACACAGAGCTCACATTACTTCTCAGCTAGATAGTGTGAGATACTCACATCTAGGCTCCTAACTGTCTCTGCTACACTGAATTACTAATAAAGAAAACAATAAAAGTAAGATTACTGACTATATCTAAGACTGACACACACTCTTTACAGGAGAAAGCTTAATAAACCTGAAAAGCAAAATCATATTTAGTTCTGTCCAGTTTCCACATCTTTTTCTTTTTAAGAGCGTGAATCTGCATTTTTTTGGTGACACATACAGATTATATAATAATGCTACAGTAAAAACATTAAAATGCAGAGAAGGAACTAACTCTTAAGAACATCACAACCTGCACAAAAAGTAATACAGCTTGATGCACAAGTACTATCAGACAAAGCTTTGATTTCCAAATTAATACATATTAATACTACAGAAGTGTTGTCTCTGTCCTGTCCTTCAAATATTCCAGCAACAAAATCTAGACATTACAATATACCTCTGTCCATCCACGGTGCAAAGGGACACACCCCACAAATCAGGGCTGAACTTGGCCAGTTGTGGAATATAATCAGCAACCTATCACAGTGTGAAATAAAGACAGAGATGTAATTACAACATCCAAAATATTTAACTATATGTTAATTAAAATAAATGTCAATGGAAAGGATAACTCAGTTGTGCCTTGTGTATCCCACTAATAATCACCTGGTATATCTAAAACTTCATTACAAATTATATTCACAAGATCATTATTAAATAAAACATTTTTTCAAAGTAAAAATTTCAGCACAAAAATTCTAAAAGGTATTTGAGTTCTGTATTACAGCATGTTCAGGATTTTCAAATCATATAAAATTTTTGCTTTTAACAGTCTTGGATTTTTCAACTAATTTACTGAAAATAAGCACTAGAATATTTTATTTACTAACAAAGGTACTATGTTGACAATTACTTCTGTCACGCAATCCAGTCAATTGTGTAGAGTTGCATAATCCTTCTACAAAGTATAGTCTCACAAATTATACAGCAGTTTTAGAGTTCATGCAGAATAAGGAACAATACTATTCTCATATTCTAAAGGCAAAACTCTACAAGACTGGTAGAGGTTGTGAGCTGTATTTGTGACCCAGTTTACAAGTTGTAGACATAACTGAACTTCCAAAACTTTTATCAAGTTATCAGTTTAACATTTTTCTAAAAATGTTAAGAAAAATCTGTCTTACTTAAAAAAATAATGTATTTGGTTAATATCAAGGAATCTATAGAAGTTTGAAGTTGAATTTATAAGTTACCTTTCCTCCAGATTGTTTTTTAGCACTTTCATATAGCTCATCAATATGGGAAGTAAACGACATAAAATCCGGAATGACAAACTTCCTCCTGAAAGCTTGAGTAAGCAACACAATATTACTTTGTACACACCTGTAAAAAGTTAAAAAAAAGTTTATTAATATTTTGACAATGTACTGTCAAAAGCCTACTTAGGTAGCAATTACATGTTATTTAAATAAGAACCTTCAGTCCCTTGAAGTTACATGCCTACAAGAACACGTCCTTATTAGAAAGACTTTTCAAATTTGCTGCTTTAAGTTGTATATTTTTTTAAAGTATTTACAATAATTTCATTGCATTCACTTTTATTCCTTTCTAATTAAATCTTTTGAAGTTTCAACTGTGAGGCTGTACTGCCAGGTACAGCCTATCTATCTGCCTTCAAGCAGCATCTCAGCTTGCAAAAAGGATCTAAGCCACCCATTTCTTAGGATCGAGCCATGTGAGGGTTATCTAACTCAGCCTTTGTCCAAAGAAGTGCTAATTTCAGAGTTAGATTGAACCTGTGAGGTTCAGGGTTGGTTTCTTAACTTCATTGTTTCACCATGAACTGAGTGAAAACAGTGCCAAGAAACGAAACTGGAATGTGATTCCACTTTAATAAGAACAAAACCCTGTGCAGAGAGTCGATAACATCTCCTAAACTAAGCAAAAGTTAACAGTGAGCAGTTCTGCAAGTATCTGGCTTCCAACTACCAGCAGTTAAGGAATCTTCACTGCCTTTTGCCTTTTAACCCAGAAGACAGTTACACTACGTGTGTCCACACCCTCTGAACATGAGCCCATCTGGGACATCTAAAAAAACGATAAAGTAAAAGGGAAAGGACTTATCTAGCACAAACAGAAGGCAAGGATGAAAACACAAGCTGAGACATGCTGAAAGTGGTGTGTCCTTGGGTGAGGGGGGGTGAGCAGGAGTGGGAATTGGGAGCCATTATCAGTCAGTTGAAATATGACCTGATAAAGGATATTAACAGCCCTATCCCAGTGCAAAGAAGAGAAAGGGAGGTTTAACACCAAATAAACAGTTAACACCTTCATACCACGCCTTCTGGCAGTGTTGACCAAAGCAGAAACATACTATTAGTGCACGAAAATAGGAAGTTAACAACATCTAGACACATGCTACAAAGGAAAACATATCCTTCCAATGAAGACCTACTCAGAAAAGTAAAAAATTAGGGAAAAATTTTTAAGGGAAATACTTTCACTCGAAACAGATATCCCAACAATACTATTATTGAAAGTTATCATCAGTTCAAAATGAATGTGCATAAAGACCAGTGAAGAGACAGAATTACCCTCCCTTTGAATCCCCCCTCTTTTTTTAAAACCTTTAGTTTTAACTCCTTTGTACTTAGACGACTTTATCCCAAATTCAACTGACAGCCATTTCAAATGCTGGTAGGCACTACTCTCCAAAACCAAATAGAAATGTTAGAGAAGTTTCTGTTGTACATACTGTCACCTTAGAAACTGCTGTCTGTAATATGCTGCTTTGTTAGTTTACATTAAAATTGCAACTGAGTTAGTTTTGTTGCAATCTGCGAAAAATCCTGTTTGTTTTTGCTCCCAGTAACCTTTAATTACAGTCACCTACTCCAGGTGCAAAATCTCTTTTCAAAAGTAATTAATAACGCTGATGGCAGCTAAGTGTGCAGAAGGAGTAACAACATAATATGCACTACATTTAAACTTCAGATGCACTTCTACATTGTCTGTACCATCTGGACAACATTATGCATTCTTATAAGAAAGAAAAAAAGTAGTATCTGAGGTACACCTAAACCTATTAGAACAACTCAATACAAAGTGTGGAAAACAACAAGGCAGTATGCACTGACATACAGTCCTCTGAGATTGTATTATGCTTCTGAAACAGGAAGGGCATTTATACACTTACAACTTACAGCAAGTCTATGATGCTCACTGCAGTAGTTCAATCATTTTAACCTACAGATTGAAACTCACTGCAGAAATGGCTATGCTGGTTAAGGACATTACCTATTTTAACCAGTTGTTCCTGGACTCTGTCCACGTATTTATCCTGCTACTCCTTAACCCAGGCAAATTACATGAATTACAGACTAAATTAAATACAGGGGCCCGAGTAATCTAGAGGGGTATTCAGAGCAATTACTGCATGGACAAAATAAACAGAGGTCTTAGTACACTCCCTTTAACAGGGCATAATATTTTCAGGCAACAGAGGACATGAGCCACGACAGCCTCTCAAATTCTGCAACTGCCCTCCTCCCCACCAGAGTGTCCAACTGCTTTATGTTCCAGGTAACCCTTTGAAGATGACTGGCCTCAGAAAAAGTGGAGCAGCAGGAAAAGATCACAGGGAGGAATTCAAGTAAATGAATATACTGATAAATAGAAATCTTTCCACAGTCAAATTTTATTAACAGCTTGGCTCTTATCTCCCACATGGCTTTAGAGGTGTTCTAGATAGGTACACTAAAAGCTCCTACTTTGTAGTACGGGGGTTCCTACCTCCTACGGTTCAGGGGTTTTTGGAAACAGCATCTTTGGTCTCTATCATAAAGTTAGGATCACTTTGTTTCTTTCATCATACAACTTGTTACATTTATCCATTATTTTTCAAGTTCTGGCTCAGACTGCTGATTAGTGTTTCCCTACACAATGGAGACCAGCTAAAAACGCAGTCTGAACTACCAATTCCAAAGAACTCTTCTGCTGTCTATACAGATGAAGGGACACCTTTTTTCCCATTTAAAAAGTATAAGCATTACAGAAAGGCACGTGAAACGCCATGTCCAACTAGCAATATTAGGTCTGTAGAAGTGTTCAGCATATTTAAACATTTTAGAAAAAAAAATGACACTATGTTGACAAATCAGATATTAACATTCTAACATAGCGGAAGTCCTCTATATCTTCTGTCAAAAGATTGCTCAAATCTAATTGCTGAAATACAGTGAAAGCATTTATTAATAGCTGGGTTAAGGTTATCTAAAATTAAAGTTTTCATCAGGATTTGCTACCTATACTGGGAGAGCAGCACAGCTGTTCAGCAGCAAATAGAAAATCCTGTTTGAGATCCAGCAACGAATTGTCAGGTTTGTGCTCAGAACATAACACACCCAGATTGCTGCTTCTGACCCGCACACCAGAGGAGATGTGCCTGCCAAGACCTCAGTTCTGGGTCAATAAAGCGGGACAGACAGCACCTTGTGACAAAGGCTAACCCTACAGAGCCAAGTAAGCTATTCTGAAAAACAATAGGGTTTAAAGTTCAGAGTTGTATCTGTTACTCAGTAGCTATCATCTTGTTCAAGTGTACAACACTTTCAAATTAACTCAATTTTGATTGCCTTGTGCCTTTCCTTCCCCTCCATTGACCAAAATATTGTTAGTTAAGAAACAGCACTCTCGGCAAGTCATACATTTTTCTGTTAGGAACATGCTATGACTTAAAGGAAAAGCTAAAAGTGGTTGGAGGATTTCTTACAAAGAGTATTGGAATTTTTTCTACAAATTAGCTACAGTGTCATAGAAACAGATCTAAAAAACCAGGATATGTCAAAATGAGGATGCTTTATGAGGAAGGCTAGCACGTACAATCCTCCATGTTTATTAAGGTGCCTAAGTTCCATCTAACAGTAGACAGTACTACTACTACTATATTAAGTAGTACCACAGCTAAGGTACCAAAAAAACAAACAAAAAAGAAAATTAAAAAATTCACATAGCAAGCTAACTAGCACACTGCACTGCTTTCAGTAACAGGCTGTTCTCAGTGAGGTGTCACTCATGCTACAAAGACCACGTGTTATGTTACACGTTACACAGATGCAACATGAAATTCAAGAAATTTCATCAATTCATAAATTCAAGAAATTTATCAAGCCCTCTCTCCAAAATGTGCACCCCAGAAGTCTTCAAGAAATTCTGGAGATCAAAGGTTAAAATCTCAAGCTGTTCTGCCTGTAACACAGAGATTTTTTCCAAATTTTTACTATAAGTGGAGAGTACTGTAAAGCCAAAAAACTTCAAAAGAATGCAATTTTAGTAAAATGGGAGCCCAATATTTAGAACCACTACAAAGGCATAGAGAAGCAGTCACTACAGATGTGTGAACTAACATATTTTACAGGTAATTTCTATTGGACTTGATTGATTTAGGCAAGCTTATGCTACCACTGCTCCACATCATTTACCCTTGACACTTTATTTGATTTAGCAGCTTCGGATTCACATTTAAGAGGAGAATTACACCACTGACTTTTATGTTTAGGGAACTGATGCTTCAAAGTCCTGAGGTAAGTACAGCCAAGGAGATAAATTATTATATTTCACACCTTAGACACTTGTAGAAGAAAGAATAGAGGGACCCTGTACAAGCCTTTTCACAGCAAATGCAGTGTGCTTAGGAGGAACAGATAAGTGAAGTCTGGGGTTTTATGGTTTACAGAAAAGGTTGCAAAGGAACCTTCTGCTGCTGCAAAGGAAAACCTGCTATGTGAAATAAGATTCACCTCTCCACTCTCTGTATTGTCTTTATGTTCAAAACTCTTCCTACACAAACAACTGTGTAAGCTTTCTACAAATTATTAAAGTAACTACTGTCCTAACACAGAGGATCAAACCCCAGAGATGTGACACACAACATGAGCTAATCCTGCCAATTAGCAATCACTTGTCCTTTTTCATATGTAGAGCCCTTGCCTAAAACATAATTCATAGTCTACTATGACAGACAAGCCCTCTGGTATGCATGTAATGCAGAAGAGCAGAAGTATTTCCTTTCCAATCCATCCATACACCCAGGAAGGTTTCTGAATCTAACAATTTAGCATTTTTACCAAGCTGACAAGTAACCAGCAAAGACCTGGTCTCGAACCTAATACAGGAGTAAAGTTAGTCCATGTTGTACCTTAGGGAAATATTCCATATCTGATAAAGGAGCTGACTGGTTTGTTATTTTGTCAAACACACCGACATTCATTTTTTTTCTCAATATATTTCAAAAAATGCTATATATGTTTTAATATATATAACACATATACTTTATATTTATATAAATTACGTAAATATAATACACATTTAACATATATTAAAATATATACAGTATATGCTTACACTCTATTATATATTTTATATACTTGTATGTCTATAAAATATACAAAATAGTATATGTAAATACATCTTTTTTAAACACATACATATTTTTAAATTGTAACTGAGAAGAAACAGCACTAAACAACATTAGTTCACAAATTCAAAAAAATGCTACAGATCAACAAAAATGTACCAATTTTACAAAAGAATACTCTTGATGAAAAAAGCAAGTGTCAGATATTTTATGATTTACCATGTAAATGGAATAAAAATACACACTGAAAAATAGCCTGAAAATTTCATTTTGAGATTTAAGAGCCTCTAAAATTCCAATCTTTTGGCACACAAAAGCTTTAAGTAGAGGAGCAAAGGAGTGTGCTTGGAATCAATAGAAGACAACCTGAACAGTGCTTATACTGTTCATCTGACCACACACTTTGCTTAAAAAAAAAATATTAGAGCATCACTAAAATATGGCACACAAATCTTTTGCAAAACAGACCAAAGGAGTGTCTGCAGCCCTAACTACTCTCAAATCTCCATATCTTATAGAAATTTCACTTCACTCTGTTTTTCATACACTCACTTTTAGCATTAACTATATACATACTCCGATCATCTTGCCACACAGAAGCAGTATCCTGAACTTCAGATTAAAAACTGGTGATGCACTGAGAGAGCAGTTTTATGTAATCATACTAAATAGCCCATGCTGCATCAATTACTTTATTTGGCATCTGACCGAGAGCTGCAGTATGGGGTCAGACACATGTGCAAACACTGACACATTAAACTCTTGTGGAGATCACAGAGCCTGTCTGCTACGTGAAACCTGAGAAAAAACTCGAGTGAAAACAGCATCAGGCGTGTATGTTTGACTCCATTTCTAATTACACATTGATTTATATACCTTATGTCTCTCAAGACAGCAGCCAGTAACACATAGACAACACTCATTCAGAATCATACAGTTACATTATTGACAGAAAACTTACTTTTTAAAAAGGTCTTTGTCCAGCATGACACCATCTGAAGTTGTCTGAAGAGTCAGTCTTAACATATCCATGCACTCTTTCAATCGAGGGTCAGATGTACGTAATCCTGTAGATTTGAGTGCCTGTTACAATAAAACAATAATTACTAAAGGGAAAAGATATGCTATTACAATCAAATTATCTACTGCTTGGTGTTTTTATCACTGTAAGACACATCTGCCACTGCATTATCAACACAGACATTTTGACACCTTATTGATCCTTTGGCCCTTCTGGCTGCATTTTATGTCAAAGCATTAATGTAATTTGAAATTCACAGTGGTCTGACTACATTTTACAAAAGTACAAATACTATCCAACCCTGCCATAGGCACAAATGCTTTCAAGTATGCTCCTTTGCACATCAAAGAAGTGGATAATAAAAATACACTTATTCTTTTACTTAGCTACAGAAACAGTATTAGGGAAAAAATAGTTACACTCCTTCCCACAGCCAAACATGTATAACAGAAATTCTTTGCTTTGCATTCTTGCATTTCAAATGTAAAATAACCCTGCAGTAGCCACCTTTCATACAGCACTCTGGAACAGTAAACTTACAGTTATGAATTTATGAACTGGTATTTTTTCTTGTCCTTCTGCAATAGTATAGAAAAGTAGATCTTCTAAGCTAGGAAGGAGACCTTGCTTCATTTTACTGGAAAAAAAAGAAAAAAAGAAAGAAAAAAGCAACATTATTTTACTGCCTATTTTTATTTACACACATTTTTGCATTCTCAAGGAGACACATTTTCACTATCAATCTTACTACTACCAGTAATTTCAAAGGACACTTCTATCACTGAACACAAAGGTTAATTTGGCCTTCAGTAGGAAAAAAATGGTAATATAAAAGTACTGTACATAGATTTTACAACAGCAAACACTCTTAACTGAACACAATCATATATTTACTGTCATACACATATTGCTAAGATTATATTTATATTTTTGGGGGGAGCAGATTAATCACTTATCCCTCTTCTTGATGTTACAGAGGATAGATATGCTACTTGCAGAGAATAAATTACTTGTAACATTCAAAGACCTACGTGCCTCATCACAAAGTTGTAAGAACACACCGACCCAATTGTTTTACAGGCAAGAGAAGGAGATGGTGAATGTGCAGTACTTTCTTCAAAATGGTCCTGTTTTTAGAACTCCACAGAGGAGTCCTGAAGCCCCTGTGCTCCTGGAAGCTTATGTAAGGCACATCAGTTGCCGTGAAAGCAAGCAAAGCCATCTGCAGCACAACACAGACCCTGAACCAGCTCAGGCACCAGGAGCTGGGATTCTCATCACACATACTTAGCAAAGTAAACGTGCAGTGCAGATACACCTTTAATGGTCACTGTGCTTATCAGTGCAAACACACCAGCTCTCCAAGGATTCCAGGTGTTAGGTATTTCACTCTGAGATACACTGGCCCTATTACTGCAGTCTTTTTGTACCTTAATCTCCATTTTATGCAAAATCTGAAGGAAACCTACCCAACAAAGCACTGAGATTCCTGCCAGGACAGAAAGCTTTCCCTTAAAGTCTTTGGAAGTTTATAGATTTAACCTATAAAAAGTTCTGCCTTTCCCTGATATTCCAAAGCATCCTGAAGCAGGCACGAGCCAAAGTCTGTACTCAGCTCTTTACACTTCCCCCAGAAGTATGGCATCGTAGCACACAGCTGGAATGGGCACTTCCAAACTGCCAGGGGCAGCAAAAGCAAAGGGATTCGGATCAGTTCTTTTAGTCCTCTGAAGCACCCAGGTTTGTTTGTAGACAACACAGTTTAGAGAAAGACAACGTTCTGACGTCTGATAAGCAAAACTAAATACAATCAAAAAACAGTTCTCCAGCAAATGCACACATTAACTAAAATGCAGAGTATGAAGTCTTGCATTATTTTAGCCACCAGTTTCAAAGGTCAATCTTATAATCTAATAATATGGGCAATACTGTATTAGGTAAAAGTTATTGCCTGAAACTAGAATGCTCAGTGGCAATTAATGTATTTTTATACATTTATGCATGTGTGTAGGTCCAAATTCTAGTCACTGAAGTTTTCACTAGATTAGTAATTCTTTGAATAACAGAACTCAGAGTTATAGGGACAAAAATAAAATGCTACAACTAAGCACAGACCCCAGGTAGGCCAATTCACTCTTACAGACTGATGTTTAATCCTCTTTCCTCTCCCAATAATTAAAGAAGTCAGATCTATGATTATTTTAAATAAAAATCTGATTATATCCAAATACACTTTTAGATTTAAGACAACCTCTAGATTGCCCTTGCCTCCCTTCTTCCCTCATAACTAGCTGTGAAAGCCAGTAGTAAAAAAATATCACCTCTCATTTTCCAATTTAAAACACTGTACTTACACATAAGAACAGAAGACAGCTTTATAAGCCAACAGAACTTTCCTTGTCTTACAGCCTGGATTTTTTTTTTTAAATTATGCTGGCTGACTAATGCACAGACAGGCTGGCAATTCAACCAACACAAACGCTTGCAACTACCTCAAATTACTGAGTGTCCCTTTTCCTTCCACGCAGCACATTTCACCTCCAATCTTCTGAGAACAGTGTGTCCAGTCAAGCCAACAGAACCAGAACTACCCAAGGCACCAATAAAAGCTTCACCCTGTGTTCTGCATCTTAACTCTGCAGGTACCCAATTCTAAAAGTTAGGCTACACCCCGATATCCCCACCACTTACACAAAGCATTTAACTAAGCTCCCCTAAGTGTCAAGATTCCAGGCTTTAAGGAACATCACTGGACTGCTGAAGGTCTGGCAGAGGAAACTTTTCTATTTCACTTTGGCAAAACAAGCCAGCAAACACACTGTGAAATTTTAACTGATTACCTATTTAATTGGACATTTTTGAGCACTTAGTCAGAATTTTACAGCTGTCCCAAGTATGGAATTTCTATCTGAAAAGGTGCAGAAAAACACTTCACACATTTGACCAAGATTTTATCGACCTCTTCGTAAGATTTTACACAGCATAAAATCTCTTGACATGGTTTCCATGTCTCTTACATCTGCTGCTGTTCAGTATTGGGTCACTCAGCCTAATTAAACAATGGATCTGCACTGACTACCAAAGTAAAGAGGATGACATTCAATATATTTACAGAAAAATTCCTTTTTGTCAAATAGTCCATCTTTTGATAAAGTTTATCAGCTAAATAGAGGTGAAAAGGCTTGCTCTGCAGTTTATCAGATCAGTGATGCCAGTAACTAATATTTGCTTAACCTAAAAGATGTGTGTTTTGGCACCATGAATACACTTAGCAAGATAATTCCATTCAGCACATGTAAAAAGCTGCTTTTCAGGTCAGGGAACTTGCAATTTTCACAGTCAAATTAAGTGGAAATTCCAGTTTACCTGATTTCATGAATAAAGATTTTTGATACTTACTTCCCTTCTTTAAAAAAAATAAATAATTAAGCACCAGACTATTATACAACTACACTTCTTTGATCGTATTCTAATCTGTGGACCACAATACTGGTGGATGGTCCACACTGCTCTTTAAATACAAAGAAAAAAAGAACATAGGAATCCCAAGCACAAGGTCTTTGCAGTATGTATCATTCCTTCCTTCAACTCTTCTTTTGCATCAATACCATGCTAACAACCAGACTCCAGGGAGGATTTCATTTTAACAAATGCTGAATTCTAATTTCTACAACAGAAACAAGATTAGATTTCAAATACTGTGAAACATTGCTACTTTCTACTTCAAGACATAACTGCCAAAATGCAGACCAGGATTTACAGAACAACAAATGATATACAGATATGATATTGCTAATAATAGTTTTAGGCTCATTATTAACCATCAGGCAAGGGTCATAAAAATATGAGGTCACAATTACTGTCACAAACAATGGTCCCTCAGGGATCTGTTCTGAGACCAGTGCTGTTTAACATCTTCATCAGTGACACAGATAGTGGAATCAAGTGCACCCTCAGCAAGTTTGCTGCTGACACCAGGCTGAGTGGTGCAGTGGACAAGCCTCAGGGATGGGATACTATCCAGAGAGAACCGGACAAACTCAAGAAGCTTGCCCCGGTATGAACGCCATGAGGTTCAGTAAGGCCAAGTGCAGGGTTCTGCACCCAGGTCAGGGTGAACACTGGTAACAACACAGGCTGGGGGATGGATGGATTGAGATCAGCCCTGCTGAGGACTTGGGGGTGCTGGTGGATGAAAGGCTGGACATGACCCAGCCATGTGCACTCACAGCCCAGAAAGCCAAACGTGTCCTGGGCTGCATCCAAAGCAGCGTGGGCAGCAGGTCAAGGGAGGGGATTCTGCCCCCATACTCCACTTTGTTGCCACCCCACCTGCAGTGCTGCATCAAGCTCTGGGGTCCCCAGTACAGGAAGGACACGGACCTCTTGGAGCAGGTCCAGAGGAAGGCCACTAAGATGATTAGAAGGATGAGCACCTCTCCTATGAGGTAAGGCTGAGGGAGTTGGGGTTGTTCAGCCTGGAGAAGAGAAGGCTCCTGGGGTACCTCATTGTGGCCCCCTTCATAAAGGGGGGTCTATAATAAAGATGGGTACAGACTTTTTAGCAGAGAGTGTTGTGACAGGACAAGGTATAATGGTTCTAAACTAAAAGAGGGCAGATTTAGATTAGCTATAAGGAAGAAATTTTACGATGAGGGTAATGAAATGCTGGAACAAGTTGCCCAGAGAGGTGGCAGATGCCCCACCCCCAGAAACATTCAAGGTCAGACTTTACGAGGTTCTGAGCAGCCTGATCTAGTTGAAGATGTTCCTGCTCATTGCAGAGGAGACTGGACTAGCTGACCTTTAATGGTCCCTTCCAACTCAAACTATTCTGTCATCCTCTGAAAGCTGCAAAGGCTGCAAACCACAGTCAGCAGCTACTCTACATAAAACGGGCACTTTGAAGAAGTTGTCATCATACTACAGACAAATGTCTCCAACCAAGAGATACAAACACTTGTCAAGTCACTAAATAACTACTTTCTGTACCCTTGCACAGTGAGACACTGATCCAGTAGCAGCGGTGGGTAACTGTTTACCCAAGAACTTACCAAGACTCAAGAAAAAACTATGTATTTATAAACTTAGATCAAAGATAGACATGTTTAATAGATATCAAAGTGTTTATGGTAAAACCAAGAACTGTTGCTTCAAAACCTTGGACTCTACTGGAGTTATGAAAGGTCTAATGAAAGTGCACTTCTAACAGTTTTTTGCATCTCTGAGTATTCCATACTCCAACAGGAGTACCAGTTAAATGAACCACTGCCTGGTTACTACAGTAATTCCTCTGGAATCTGGTTTGGCTGCAAAAGCCAAATTTATTTTTAAAGGTATCTCCAGAATTCATGTCTGCCCTTAAAAAAGAGCACTACCACTCCCTTGTCATGAAAAAAAAAATTAATAAAACACTTTTTTATTCATTTTGCTATATTCCACATACTAGTACCAACCACTACTGCAATTTAGTATAAAAAGTTAGCAATTTAGCTTTTAAAAGTTAAGGTCGCTCACATTTTGCTCCTCCCTGTCACCTTAATCAAGGCCTTTGCCATTTAGAAGTAGCTTATACAAAGATAAAATGTTTGATCCTTTTCCTGTCCAGCGTGAGGTGAACAATGCACACTTATTCCG